GACCTCCCCTTATTTCTTTTTTCAATTAATACTCCTTGATGATACAGGCTAAAACTTCACACATGGCTACTTTTCCCTTTCTTCAGTGCCTATATTATATCAGTTCCAAAGTCTATTGAGTCACCTTCTCAAATGCCTTTTAAATCCTTCTCCTTATCTGCAATCCCACTGCCACTTTCTTGGTTTGGGCCACCGTCATCCCTTGCTTGGATGATTGAAAGAGTTCTCTAACTTGTTTCTTAGCCTCCAGGTTCTTCCAGGTTAAACGAAGACATATGATTCTCTCAGATGATAGTAGGAATAGCTAACATTTTTGAGTTTCTACTACTGGCTGGGAAGTGTTTAAAGAGCTTTATATGGATTAGTTCGTTCATTTAATTGCCACCTCCACCACCTGAAGAGGTACTTTTGTAAACAGGAAAATGAAGCCCAGAGTACTTAGGGGACCTGCCCAAGGTCACACAGCCATAATGGCCCAGGCAGGATTTGAACACAGGGGCTCTGTCCATGTACTTCACCATATATTCTCCCCTACACAGGTGGTCTCCGAAAGAGGTACAGAGTCCCCAGAGAGTGTCATGGGTGAAAAATGCTAGAACTTCTATTTATATTTATTTTAAAATAAAACTATGAAATCCATTAAGGTAATATAAAATATATGGATTAACATTGACAGTCTCATGTGGCCTGTCAGATGGTCCTTGTTGCACACAGTACCCGAGACACCTCTAAGGGAAGAGGGAATTTGATGACTTGAGAGGTTGACAGTGACATTTTCACAGAGGTTTGCTGCCATCGACTTGTTACATGTAGTTCACGCACTATTAGGGTGTCATCGATGCAGAAGTTGACTTCTAAAAAGGACGGTATTACAGTACTTCTAATGGAATGAGAAGTGCATATGAAATATTTATCCCAAATAGAGGCTTACTCAAGACAACAAGTTGTCAAACCTACTCATGAGTGTTCCAAAATTTCTGACCTTTTCTATCTGGTAAGTGGTTATTAGTTATAAGTTATTAGAAAATAATTATGAGAGGGGTGCCTGGGTGGTGCAATCAGGTAAGTCTCTGACTCTTGGTTTTGGCTAATGTCGTGATCTCAGAGTCCTGAGATCGAGCCCCTTGTCGGGCTCCGCGCTCAGCAGGGAGTCTGCTTCTCCCTCTCCCTCTGCCCCTCTCCCCTGCTCTCTCTCTCTCACTCTCCAATAAATAAATAATTCTTAGAAAATAATCTTGAGAAATTAAGAACATCCTAACATGTACCTTCGAAGTAAAATGGACATTTTAACAGTGAATGAAAGAATAATTGATTTTCAAAAGAAAATCATGTTGTGGAGAGAACATATTAAAAACAGATTTTTGGTAAAGAGGGCACATTCTGCATGGAGCACTGGGTGTTATGCACAAACAATGAATCATGGAACACTACATCAAAAACTAATGATGTAATGTATGGTGATTAACATAACAATAAAAAATTTTAAAAAAAGATACTGAAAACAAAACAAAACAAAACAAAAACATTTTTGGGAATATTTCCAGTGCTTGCAATTTTCTCTTTTCTTTCTTTCTTTCTTTCTCTCTCCCTCCCTCCTATCAGCTGAAAATGGCAGGTGTTAAATATAAAACCTCATACCTGCATTCTTTGAAAATATGGAAAAAGACTTTTCTATCTTGCCCCTGTTTTTCAAATGAGAAATTTCAATGGGCTTTGAAGCCATTTGGTGAAAGTACAAAAGTACAACAACTTCTGATTAATTTCTAATAACAGCCAATCAACATTAGGGAAGACTGATCCTTTCCAGCCAAATTTCAATAAAAGCTTTGCCTAGGATAGATAGGATTTAAAAATGAGTACCAAGACCCCAATTTGAACCTACATACCTTGTAAGGCATAATTTTTGTGTATGACATTGAAATCATAAAATCATTAAAATCAAGTATCAAAATAAGACCTTCGGGGTGCCGGGCTGGCTCAGTCTGTTAAGCATCCAACTCTTGATCTCAGCTCAGGTCATGTTTTCAGTGTTATGAGAGCCAGCCCAGTCAAGCCCAGTCAAGCTCTGCACTCATCAGGGAGTCTGCTTGAGATTCTCTCTCCCTCTGCCCCTCCCCCTAAAATAAATAAATAAGTCTTAAAAAAAAACCCCTTCAAATCAGTGTATCACAAAATGTTAAACCAAGATTTCAAAAATAATTAAGATTATTCGATCACATTGCTCTCATAAAGAATATATTAATTATAAAACTTTTTTATGGGAGATAAATATTAAAGAGGAGAAATTATTAAAATATTTTCTTGAAAATGTTGTTTTTTAAATGTCATAATATTTCTAACAAGTTAATATGGAGCCAAGGATATAAAATTCATCAATACAATAATATCAATATATTAGTGCTCTATAAAAAGTTTTAACAAAAAGTGTGGAGATTACTGCTCAATAGTATTAATACAACCATGTTTATGATTGTTGTCTGCCATTTAGAAGACTAAATTTGCGGGGTGCCTGGGTGGCTCAGTCATTAAGCGTCTGCCTTCGGCTCAGGTCATGGTCCCAGGGTCCTGGGATTGAGCCCCGCATCGGGCTCCTTGCTCTGCAGGAAGCCTGCTCTCCCTCTCCCGCTCCCCCTGCTTGTGTTCCCTCTCTCGCTGTCTCTCTCTCTCTGTCAAATAAATAAAATTAAAAAAAAAAAAAAGACTAAATTTGCAAAGTGCTTATTCATACCATTTTTTCTGGGATAAAAGTTACTGCTATAATTAAATAGTTCTTGTTTTTTAATTCTTTGCTAATTTATGTATATGTATTTATATATTATAAATATTTATATTATATATATATAATATCTATGTGTACGTATATATATAGTGTGTGTGTGTGTGTGTGTGTGTGTGTGTAAATATATAGCCTTGTTTCTAACTGGCCACATTTTTTCCCTTCAATTTTTCAATCCTTTCCTTCTTTCTTTTAAATCCTTTTTTATAATCTGGATTGATCCGACTTTGCATTTGGCATGGTGTGCCCTCTCTGCCTCACCTCCACATCCCTACTTTCCCGTCTGGTCTTTCTGGTTTCAGACTCTCTCCTTTTGTCTTCTTCTCTCTTTTCCCTCCATTATTCCATGCCTCTCTGGAACCCAATCAGTATGCCAGGCAGTAGGGCAATGACAGAGAAGTAAGTCGTAGGGGTCCACCAGCTTCTACTTCCATCGTTAGAACAGAAATACATGCTGAGGACAAATGAACTGGTCCTCAAGACTCCCTGGGATAACTTAAAGGCAGGACCGTGGGAGGCTGGGGGGGGCGGGGGTCGGTGGAGGTGGGGGTGGGCACTCCACACATGGTACTTCAGGATCTTGCCCCCTTGAGTTCGGTGCTCTCTCTCATCCTCTACTGAGAGCTCTTGGATCACAACAGGTGGCATGAGAGAAAAACTAAAATCATTAGTTGTGTGTGGGAAGACTCATAGCTGTTTTGAGGCGGGCAGAAAATGGGGGGGCATTTGGATCTTCAGTAAGGGGCCTGAGCTTTGCATGTCTGAGAGGAGTTGTACTCCAAGTGGATTAAAATGGAAATAGAAAGGCACCTAGTTATACCACTGTTTGTTACAGGGCAGAAATCAGTGTAAGTCAGGCTGGCCCTGGCTCTTCGCCAAAGGATTTTATTTCCTGAATCGCCCAAATCGTTTTCCTTTGTAGGCTTCCCCATGGTCCCTACCCTCGGCACAGAATTGCAAAGAGTGAGCCTCCAAGGCCACAGCCCTCTGGCCGCTCCTGCTGGCGCAGACTTCGTCCCAGTTAGGGGCTTCCTGCACCTCCGCTGCAGATCATCCCTGGCTATCCTTCCCTCGTCAGCAGCCTTGAGGTACTGCTGCGTCAGCGAATGAATGTCCAGTGCCTTGCGGATGGGGCCTGGAGTCACGGCCCAGGCTAGCTGGTTGCCCACGTGTGGTGCAAGGGCCCACAGCCACCCAGAGGGGAGGCGCGGATCCCCTTGCGGACACTGGGAGAAGCCAAAGCCACGTTAGGTGGCTGTCCACCCCGCAGCCTCAGGAACACGCACCATCCGATTCTTTGGCCCGCTGCACCCCCCAGTCGGTAATCCGAGTCCCTGCAGGGCTGGTAGCCGTAGCCACTAAGCCGGGGCTGCTCTGTTTCTTCTCAACGGTTAACATGTCCCAGCTCTTCTTCAATGTCAAAATGTTTTCCCATGAACAGCAGGGGTAGCATTCCCCCCCGCCACCCCCCCCACTCTTATCAGCCCTAGCAACCAGAAGCCCGGTTTCCAGGAAAACAGCCACTTGATCCAACCTGGCGAAACCCACTCCCCAGCCCGGCAACTGACTGGCACTTATGCCCCCAGCACTCAACAGCCCAGTGTTTTTTTAGCTGTGGCCACATGACATCATTTCCAATTGGCCAGCCTTCCTTCTCCTCCTCCCCCGTGCAGCCTCACTCCCAGCCCTTCTCCTCCCCGCAGCCGAGGGTGGTATTTTGTGGAGCAGTGGGAATGCTTTGGGCTTTTTTGGGGGGACTGATTCCCTTTGTTTCTCAAAATATTCCTGGCCCTGGCAGCTCTAATTCCTTCCCTGGCTAGAGACAGTGTGGCTCGGGGCTCCAGGAACGCACGCCGCCTGCTCGCTGCCACTGGGCTCTGGCTCAGCCCGGGTGGCCGGGCTGGGTGGCCCCGAGGAAGACCCTCCCTTTCAGTGGGGCGCCCCCCTCCCTGGTGGGAAATGGAACGCTGTTTCTCTGAACCCCGCATCCTGTGAGGTGCTGGGGGGGGGGCGCAGGGGGCGGGAATAACTGCGATGCTCACATGTGATTGTTCGCTACTTCCCACGCCCCGCAGTTGTCTTTGAGTCAGTTTGGTGGCGTTCCGGCAGGCCACGAAACAGCAGGGCTGTGTCTTGTGATGCGAAGAGTTTCTTTTCCTAACCATATATGTCTCCCCAAGAGAACCAATAAATAATGTGGTCGCTCTGGCTGGCTTGTCTTTCCATAGCTGCCCCAGGAGCCCTCTGGCCCCTGCTCGTGGCTTCTCCTGTTTCAATTTCCATGTCCTCTCCGTTTTGTAACTCAAGGAGCTCCCCGGCTTAGGAACAGCTGACAAGCCGGCCAGCTCCCCGGCCGTGGCACCTGGGAAGGGGCGAGGGGCAGGGCCTTGCAGGCATGCTCGGGACACCCTGGCCCCGGCGGCCCTGACGCCCTGGACGGTGAGCAAGGATGGGTGCTGGGGGGCAGGACTTCGGCTGCTGGACCCAAAGCATCTGGCAAGGCCATTCAAGTGAGTAATGAGATGGGGAGACGTGGAAGAGCATTTCCTCCCAGCAGAATCTTCCAGACAGCCTCCCAACACACCCTCATCTTCCACCTGCGTCTCCCACCAGAAAGGGGGCGACCGCTCATTCAGTGCGCATGCGTGGCGGGACTGCTTGCCCCACCGAATCGTAGAGCTCGAGGGCTTTTCAAACCCATCACACACCAGCTCTTCATTTTACAGAGGAAGAAACTAAAGCCCAGGGGAGAAATAACTTGTCCCAAGTCAGAGTAGAGCTGGGGTTTGAACCAACGGCCTCCCAGAGCTGTTACTTCGCACACCAGAGAGCTCAGGGGCGGCTCCCTCAGGCCCCCCCAGAACCCCCCCGCCCCGTGTGTTTCCATACAGCGCCCAGGAAGGTGAGTGCACACTGGGACAGGGGGTGAAGGTGAGTTGGAAGAGTAAAGGCAATGGAAGCCCTGAATTTCATCCCTCCAGTCTGGTCCCGGTCCCTGCACCCCTAACTCTGCTGATCCTTTCCAAAAGTGATGGATTTTTCCTTCTGGGTCAAACGAAATCCTCACCCCCTTAGCCCTGGGGGAGGGACAAGCGGAGTTCCAGGTTAGGGTAACTGGAAAGAACACCGAGGGCTGTTCCTTGCCTCCAGCTGTTCTTTTATCATGCAGCACCTGGCGTGGAGGGAGCCCAAAGGGCCATCAGAGCGAAACATGCCAACTGCGAAGTGGCTGGCAATGCTGGTGTTGGTGGCCGAGCCAATAAATCCCAAGGCTCTGATTTATCCTCTCTCTGAGTGCTGGAGTGGACATTTCTGAGAACGCCCCTGAAAGGTGACAGCATGGACCAAGCTGCTCCCAGCTTTGGGCTTGGAGGGGCATCTTTCCTCAGAGCTCTGGAATGCCGTGCATTTGTTTATCTCGGGCAGTGTGTGTGCCCGCCCACCCTATCTACCTCCGCTTTCTCCTGAGCTCAGCATGCCATTGGCATTTAATAAATGTTAAAAAATAGCAACATCTGAGCCACTGACCTTCACATAAAGGCCTTTGAGACCATTGCCAGCCGGTTCCTCCTTCATGCCGCCAGACCCCGAAGGTCTGAGGGGGGAAAGAGAAACACACCCTCAGCAACTGGGGTGGGGGGGTGGGGGGGCACGGCTGCTGGGGTCTGGGAGTGCTGCGGAGTTTGCAGCCCGCGCTCAGAGGTCACAATATATGGACTGGGGCCAGATGCTTTAACAGAGATGCCCGGGCTGGTTGCCCTTCACAAATCAAGGGCGGTGGTTTTGCTCCATCTCGCCCTACCCCTCCAGACATTCCTGTGTTCTCCAGGCCAATGGGTGTCACGTGTGCTGGGGATCGGGCGTTTCAGACCCAAGCGCTGGGCCGAGGCTGGGGCATTTCTGTCGCCCTCTCTTTTTTGCCTGTGCCTCCCTCACAAAAATCCTTTCCACCATTGTTCCGCCGAGACTTCCTCGTCTGGTGGTATAGGACAGGAGGGACTGGGGTTTTCCAGTCAGTCTGAGTCAGGTTTCAATGTCTTCCTTTTTTAAAAAAATTATGCAGCCTTTTCTTCAGCCACATGGCCTGGGTGGTGGAGTCTAGGCAGTCTTCTTTTTCGGCCCACTCTCTCCCTTCCTCTTTTTCTTCTTCCCTAAAGACTGGGAAAAGGTGAATGTTGTAGAGGGAGGGACCTGAGTCTCCTGCGGGCCTGGAACTGGAAGGCCAGCTTCATGTAATTTATTTAAGGTCACCAGTGAACCGGCTTGACAGGCGAGGCCATTCAGATTTGGGGAGAGTAAGCAGGCGGCTAGGTCAGCGGCTGGCAGGGGACAAGGCTGCATCCCAGGCCAATCATGTGGGGGCGCACCATGCCACACACACTGCTCAAGGAGCTTGGCTCGCTTGAGCCCTTTTCTTCTCCGTAACAGCATTATAAGAGGGGGCTGTTGCTAGCCCCCATTTTACAGATGGGGAAACTGAGGCTCAGAGAAGTTAAGTACCTTCCTAACATGGTCACTTCGGTTTCTGAGCCACTATCATAGGAGCAAAGGTAATTTTCTGGGAATCCTGGGCATTCTGGATGGCTGGACTGTTGGTGTGCCCAGGATGCTCCCAGTCTCAGCAAGGAAAGTGCCGTGTCTTGGGAAACCCCTTGGTCTCGGGAAGCCGGACAGGGTGGTCGCCCCACTGAAAGCTCTTCCAGCCCTTTCTCTTTCTTCCCCACGGTGCATCTTTTGTTTTTGCTCTTTAGGGCAACACACTGTTAACTTCACTTGTTTTCTGGGGAAAGGCAGAGGGGGCTCTGGGGTGGGGAGAGCAGGAGCTAGGTCGCGGGGTGGGTTGAGGATGGCAGGGGGCAATGTAGCCCCCCAGTGCTGGGAAGGCAGTGAATGCCCCTGACATGGTCTCTCCTGTTATTAGCCTAATGTGCAGTGGAGGACGAAGAATGGACAGCAACATTGGGGACTCTGGTTCAGTGCAAGGGAACCCTGAGTTCCTCCGCAGGACATGCGGGGCATTTCCTCCATCACAGAGTCCTTGAGGTCTGAGAGGCAGGCTGCAGGACTCATGGTCACAGGAGAGGAAACCCAGGTGTAGGAAGACCCGCAATTGCCCAAGCAAGGATGTGGGGAGTGAGGAGTTGAATCCAAAGCCATGCCTTTAATCATGGGATGGGGCTACCTCTTAAGGGAAAAAAAGGACGGGGAAGAAGGTGCCCCAGAGAGGCCTTGAAAAAACACAAGGGGTGGTTGGGGGGAGGGGAGGCAGGCAGAAGCAGAGAAAAGTGAATCTTGGTGGGAGCCCAGGCATTGCTCTGTGCTTTCCCACATATTAATCCATTCAGGCCTCCCCAGTTCCTATGAGGTTGCTATCATCATCATCATTTCCAGTTACAAATGAGAAGGGTGAGGCACAGAGGGATAAAGACACTTGCCCAAGGTCACACAGCTAGTAAGTGACGTAGCTAGGATTCAGACTTGTCCGATGGTGAAGGACGAGAGGGATTTTTTCCTCCTCCTCCTCCTCTTCTTCTTCTTTAAAAATTATGCAACATTTTATTTACTGGCAAGGTCAGTGGAGTTTAGGCAAAATCTTTTTCAGGCAGCTCTCTCCCTTCCCCTTTTATGTTCTTCCCTAAAGGCTGACTATTTGAGCCCCTCTGCAGCTCTATCTCTTTGTGGGCTCAGGCCCACCAGGGAGTAGGGCTGGTGTGTGGGGGCGGGATTTGGTGATTGGTAATCCCAAGTGTGTGTGTGTGTGTGCGCGTGTGTGCATGCGTGAATGAATGTGTGTGCATTCAGACCGAAGTTGCTCCAGGAAAATGTTGGGATCCTAAAGCTGGAAGGTCGGCCCCGCCTTGCCCCTTCTTAGCTCCTCTCTAAACCCTTATCAAGCCTTCCTGGTTAGTCTCCTTTCAGAAGCACAGGGAAAGTGCCAAACCCTGAGATCACCTGTTGGCTTTGTCCCAACTCGCTGCTCAGGAAGCAGCCTTTGTGCATCCCTTACACCTGTGTCTGATGGGAAATGGGGGGTGGGAGGAGCACATCAGGAAAGGGCCTGTGCTGGCTGTGGGCTCCATGCCCTGGGGGAAGTTCTCTCTCTCTGCCCCACCCCTCCGGACAAAGGGGAGCCCTCTCTCGCCCCTGCAACCACCTCTTCACTCTGGTGCATTACTCCCCTGTCTCCACCTGTTCCCCTCCCTGGGTCTGCACCAGGCTGGTGCTGGAACCGGCCCTGCTGTGAACAGCGTAATTATGAATGAATCACACATCAACAGGTTGAAATGGATGAACAATGAAAGTCCAATACCAGCCACAGTTGATGGGTCCACCTTGTAAAGAAATACAGAATCACCTTCTGCATAGTGGGGAGTCTTGTTTCAAGTAGCTTTCACACTGGAAGCTCTCTTTCTGCCAACCAGTTAAGTAATTAGATCTATACCAGCGCTATGGAGAGAAGCCATTTCTAGGTAGAAAGCCTTTTGCAGGGCAACCAGTAAAGGAACAGGAAGTGCCTAAATCTAGAGCATCGCATGGGTATCTAGTGATTATGCTCCACCACGGTTGGAATAACAATATAGAAATTAATCTTTATAGCCCATAGTGAGTACCCAATAGAGAGCTTTGAATAAATGAATAAAAACTCTATTTTTATGTCTGAGGTTTGAACAAGTAGACTGAGAAACTGAGAAGCCTGTGTAATCAGAACATCAATGCTGATACAAAAATGTGATTACTCTGATCTAGACTGACTTGAAAGGTGGAGCGGTTTGAGATACAGAAATAGATCATGAAGCCAGGATGATGAAAGAAAAGAATCAGCCACTGAGATTCATCCCTTTGCAGTAAGTAGTTGGCTAAAAGCAGGTGCTATGTATTGCTGCCCAGGTTGTATACTGCACAACTTCAGAATGTACTCTTCATGGCAACTATAGTACGCAGTGTGTTTTGCAAAGCAATGGCTCTCGATAAGTGTTTTCCCAATCTCTTAGTGAGGGATACTTGGAAAGCTAGTATCAGAACAAAACAGTGCAGGGCGCCTGGGTGGCTCAGTTGGTTAAGCGACTGCCTTCAGCTCAGGTCATGATCCTGGAGTCCCGGGATCAAGTCCCGCATCGGGCTCCCTGCTCAGCAGGGAGTCTGCTTCTCCCTCTGACCCTCCCCACTCTCATGTGCTCTCTCTCTCAAATAAATAAATAAAATCTTTAAAAAAAAAAAAAAGAACAAAACAGTTCATGTTATTTGCAGTTTATCTATACATCTATTTATGCTTGCCTTAATGGTTTAGTAAATTGCATATAAGTCATTCATGTGGATTCAGTTATTTAAAATTTTTTTATTATGAAATAATTATAGATTTACAGGAAATTGCAAAACAGTGTACAAGGAGGTCCCATGTACCTCCAGTTTTGCCCACTGGTAACATCTTGCAAAACTAGATATAACATCAAAACCAGGGAACTGACATTGGTGCAATCCACCAAGCTTATTCAGATTTCCCCAGTTTTATAAACTGTCATCTCTGTGTATGTATGTGTGTGTATGCTTGTATGTAGTTTTATCACATTAAACTGGTGGTAGATTCTTATAACTACTATCACTGGTCCATCCCCCAGGATCACTCTCACCCTGCTACACCATCCTCCATCCCTAACTCTTGGCAACCATTAATCTGTTCTCTGGCTCTATAATTTTGTTATTTTGAGAATGCTATATAAATAGGGATTCGATCTTTTTTTTAAATTGCCAATTATTTTAAAACTAATTCTTTTGCAACAAAGTTCTGACTTCAGGGGCGCCTGGGTGGCTCAGTTGGTTAAGCGACTGCCTTCGGCTCAGGTCATGATCCTGGAGTCCCGGGATCGAGTCCCGCATTGGGCTCCCTGCTCGGCGGGGAGTCTGCTTCTCCCTCTGACCCTCCCCCCTCTCATGCTCTCTCTCTCTCATTCTCTCTCAAATAAACAAATAAAATCTTAAAAAAAAAAAAGTTCTGACTTCAGGATTTCTACATAAGGATTCCTAGGGGCAAGTGGTTGAACTAGGGGGACTGAACTGATAGAGAAGTCAAGACAGAGAAGGTGCAGGCCTGGAAATGAAGAGAGAACTTTTATTTATTGAGCACTTACTGTGTACCAGGCACTGTTCTAAGGTTTTGTGTGGGCTGCCTACAGAATGGTGCCTGGAGGGGCTGCCTTCTCTTTGGGGCTCTTCCCAGCCTCACCCAACATACATTCCTATGTCCTTTATGTATGCATTTCCCATTGTGTCACCAACCCCTGGAGAGTAGAAATGCCTATCCCTACTCTGAGAGCTAGGAGTCAACCATAGGGTCTCTGGCCATTGAATGGTTCAGCTTTGATTTTCCTTGCCCTTAGGTTCTGAGCAAGCTCTGGCTGCCCAGGGGGCTGCATGTCATTCATCTGCTTATGGTCCTTGCATTGCCCTTGTTGCCACCTCCCCACTGCTGGGACGAAATGCCATCTGACAACTGGACACGGGTGGCCTTTGCTGTTGGCATCATGTCCTATAGCCACTTGGCTGCCTCAAGGTTTTCACCTCTGAAGACCTAGAGAGAGACACCCACACCATCATTGACACCCTCAGCATTTCCAGGAATTCAAGATTAATGGAGAGGAACTCATTGTCCTAAATCCCCCACTGGATATGAGATTTAGGAAACTCCCTTCTTGAGGTTATTAAGGCTCAGTGGCTCAGTGAGAGACCATAACACAATTGGCCTTTTATCTGGGAACTTTGGGCTGAATTGGCACAAATTGACAGTGAGGGACTTTAGACCCAGGATGGATTATTGGCACGGGTGAGTTTTTCTGTTGGGAGATCTCTGAAAATAGAAGTGAACATGGTGGGCCTGAGCATCATGTCTGAAGTCATCTTGTTGGAAGTCAAGGCATGAAGGAAATATTATTTGAGAGCCCTTGTTGCACTTGGATTTTGCAAAATCTCTACTATTTGTAAATGGACCTGTGGCCTGAGGCAGGGAAGATAACAATCTTGGTGTTTCCACTGCCTGAACACCAGTGAAAATACCACAGCTATCCTATAGGCAGAATCCTCTGGTATTATATTCCAGTGGAGATTGGAATACTAGACTGGATATTTACAACCATTTTGAAGTTGGGACACTTGTCACTGATAAGCAACATGGATAAGTACTTCATGTTGGTTGGCGTATATACTTTATTAAGGCAAATAATAATTGATTGTGTTGTGAGGATTTTGTTAGAACACTTCGGAAAATTGGAGGCCCTTTAAAAATTGCAACAGGAGATAGTCTGCATTTAACCACCCTGTCTAGGTTAGAATCTGGGGCCATAAAGCCAGAAGTCACAAAGACTGATATCTGAGTTCACAACTCCTATGAGGAGAGAAACGATCATTTGTTATGGCCACTGGGCACATTAAAAACTGTGTGATTACTTCCACGCCCAATGGTAGGCACTGTGGTGACTTTAGACATTTACTGGTGACTCATTAAACTATTGGTCTTCAACCCTTTGCCTTGGAAACCCCCGCTTTCTTGGGGCCCCTCCTTATTATAGTTAAAATAGCTTAAAGTCCTTGTGAATCCTTTAAAGGCAAACATGGATAGATTCCCTCTAGAGGAGATTCCAAATCAAAGCAAACATCATTAAAGCAAAGTCCAAAGCATGTTGATCAAAAATAAAACGTTGGGGAATATTTTGTGATGCCCTGGAGGTGTGATTTTTCTATAAAGGGAAGCCCTTAGATTCATTGCACAGACACACCATCCACCCTTTCCACTTGGTGGCAAGTGTCCTTCTGGTAAGAAGCACATTAAAGACTCCCATCTCTCATCTACAATCATAAATCCGGAAGGCTATGAAAACCGAAAGCTTTTTGTATACCTGATGCCATTTGCCAGCAAAATCTGACCTGAAATGACTTGAAACTATTCATAGGTTTAATTTATCTTATGAATCTTCATGTTTCATTGCAGAAATATTAACATTTGCATATGGGGCAATGCTCTATGTCCTCTGTGAGAGTGGTGATATACAATATATAGTGTATGTACCGCATTATCTTTCTAAAAATCTGAAAAATTCTGAATTCTGTAACACAGTTGTCCCAGAGGGTCTTGAAAAAGGGATTGTGGACCTGGAGTACAACCTTTTTTTTTTTTTCCCCCATGCTACACAAACATCAGATCCTTTTTTTTGATAGGTGATGGGACCCAACCAGATGGCTAAGCTTGTCAGGCCTTTATCCCCTGTCACTGACAAAGTCTAAGGCAACATGATCCCATGTTAAACCCCAGGCTCCAGAGCTTCCTCCACCTTGCCCAGAGTTCAAGGACTGGCAGCATTGCCTTTTGGCTGGCTGGGCACTGAGGTGGTGGGGCCCTTTTCTGACCCCTCACACAACTTCTCTACCTGGAGGCAGAGAGTTGGTGGGGAATGCCAGGCTCCCTGCTGACAAGGCTTTCCCTGGAGTGTGTGAGACCTTACTGTAAACCCATGGAGCCACTCACTCATGGAATTGTCAGTGCCTTCATTCCCTCAGTTAATATTGTGCACCTTTTGTGACCTAAGCATGTTTTATTGAAATCCTGGCACAAAGTGAGAGATCGAGTGAGAGTGTGAAGCTTGGACTCAGGCAGGATTTTCCTAGACAGTCTTTCATAGAATCCAAGAGATGCTAATGGGATTTTAGAGGAAAAAGATTTCCATGACCAAAGGAGTCTAGGAAGCGATGAATCCAACAGAGTTAAACAGGTTTCCGTAAAGCAGTGTGCTCGGTAGACATCCCAAAGGGGGCGTTAGCACTGACCAGGGAGGGGATGCTTGCCCCTGGGCCTCTGTGTCTTTCCCAGCTCACGTTATTTTTGTATTCCATGGAGGCTGTAGGAGAAATTCTGTAGGTACAGAGCTGAATGACTCCATAAAGCCATGGGAAAAATTCCCACCATGATCTGTGTGTGTGTTTGCAGGGGCTGTAGGCTATTGTAGCTGTCCCAACTACCTTAAAACAACATGAAAGTGCAGGTGGGGACCTGCGCTACTGTGGCAAAGGAATGCTCTTCTGAAGTTGTACCATCTTCAGAATAATAGTCCCTGCAGAGCACCTTCCAACTGAATCTCTCTGAACTTTTTTTTATTCCCTAGACAGCTTGCCTTCCGCGGTACTGTAATACATAGTGCAAAAAACATGATTGCCCTCTGACCTGTTAGTATTTTTTTTTTTTAAAGATTTTATTTATTTATTTGACAGAGAGAGACACAGCGAGAGAGGGAACACAAGCAGGGGGAGTGGGAGAGGGAGAAGCAGGCTCCCCGCAGAGCAGGGAGCCCGATGCGGGACTTGATCCCAGGACCCTGGGATCCTGACCTGAGCTGAAGGCAGTCGCTTAACCGACTGAGCCACCCAGGCGCCCTGACCTGTTAGTATTTTAAGAACCAAAATTTCTCATGATTCAAGACTACGTGGAAGACAGGAGGAGTCCCATTTTCATGACTGATCTTACAGTTAGGGTCTCTCCTGGGAAAACCATCAAACATGCACCACTATAGTATTTTAAAGCATTTCCCCAGAGTTAGAATGTTAGTTTTACTGATGGAGTTTCAACTAAAGTTTATGACAAATGCATGGGACAACATTTTGCTGGAGATAAGGGACAGTCTAGTAGGATGGGAATAGATTGGGTTCTTTAGTGTTTGCTTTCTTAAATAGTGATTTGAGGTCAACTTCTGAACTGAACTTGGGTTCTTTTTTACCATGTTTGTGGCTGTAGCTGTTTGTTGTTGTTATAATTATTTCTGCCCGACTTGCTCTCTGATGGGAATTATTTCACTTTCTTTCTATTTGATTTTGTTGTGCCTTAGTTTCCTCAGAGGAAGATCAGAGTTTGTGAGTATTTATGAAGAAATGTCTGTGAAATTGGGAATAGTCCTGGGGTGGAAATTTGTAGGTACTATGAAATGACTTTTTTTTTTTTTTCTTTTTTCAGTGATTACTGCGTAGTGAGCACTCAACAAAAAACGTAGCAAGAATGTAAGAACGGTGATCCGGGAGGGCTGGCCTCTTCCGCTTTCTCAGATACTGAATCCCCCAGTGGTCAGTGATTTGCAGTACTTGATGAGTACCTAAATGATTGATTCATGACCCCCAGAAGGAAGGAAGGAGGGAGGGAGGGAGGGGAAGAAGGGAGGAAAGAGGGAAGGAGGGGAGGAAGGAGGGAGGGAAGGAAGGAACAAAGGCAGAAACAACCTACTGAGCTAAAAGGTAACTGATTGTCACCTTTGTTCTTTCCTTGTCATGGAATTCAGGGGATGTGTAGAGCTTTTTTCTTTCTTTTCTTTTTTTTTTTTAAAGATTTTATTTATTTATTTGAGAGACAGAATGAGATAGAGAGAGAGAGCATGAGGCAGGGAGGGTCAGAGGGAGAAGCAGACTCCCTGCTGAGCAGGGAGCCCAATGCGGGACTCGATCCTGGGACTCCAGGATCATGACCTGAGCCGAAGGCAGTCGCTTAACCAACTTAGCCACCCAGGTGCCCCTAGAACTTTTTTCTTCACAATTCTTTCCAAATACATAAATATTTTGCAGTATTCCAAATTTCCTTAGATGTTTTTTATTCCCTCTCTTATGTGGGTGAGTGAATCATTTCATTGATCAGGACTCTTGATGAACAAGCACAGTTCACTGCATTCTAAAAGAATACACCTTTCCAATTTTTATTCTTTATGCCCCCGCAAACCTGTGTCCCTTAGTAGTGGGGTAAGCCCATGTCTGTGTGCTAGCTCGCTAGATCTGCACGCTACTGATATTTAAATCACTTGATCCTTTCAAAATAGTCTATGCAAACCCAGGTGACCCTCAGCCCAACAGACATTTTTCTTCCCTAATTGTAGGAGAGCCAAGTTCACTTTGTTCTTGGACCTTCCTCCTCACACTGCCCCACATTTCCTTCTCTTTGAGGGGCAATGGCATGCAAGTCAAAGATTCGTGGCCCAGGAGAAAGAACACTGGGCCCAGAGCCAGGTGACGAGGGGTTGAGTCCCAATCTAGCTACTCATTCATCCATCATGGAGTCTTGGGGAAATCTCTCTGTCTTTCTAGTCTTCCATTACCCCACAGGACTGTCGTGGAATGCAGTCAGCTCAGTGTGGCATGCTTGGCTTTTCCCTGGGAGAATGCCACAGGAAGCCCAAGGCAGGGGCAAGCAAGGCTAGCTAGGTCTGCAGTGTGGCCACATAGCTACCCCCGGCGAAGTCTCCTCCAGCAGTTCCCCACCTGCTGGGGTAGAGGATGCATCATCCCTGAGCAGCCTGAGCTGGCTAAGGCCCACATTTTTGCCACAACCCCTGCTCTAATTAAAAAAAAGAATATTGCTACCTAGGATATGATTCATAATACTTAATAATAGTAACAACTCCAAACACGCTATTCTAAGTTCTGGACTAGACTCTGAAACTGAATTAGTTTCAGTTTTCTGCATTTCCCTTTCCCCATGTGTAAACTCAGGAAGGTGGATCACGTAGTCAATCCTCTTTAACACCGAGTTCTTCCACATCTAAGCACTGTCTTTAATACTTATGGGGGAATAACTACTCAGGTACAATTTGCAACGCCCATTTTATGGAATAAGAAACGGGCTCTGACCGGTTCACAGGGGCAACAAGCCACGGATCTGGTTTCCAGCCAGGCAGTCAGACTCCCAGCTGCTTGGACTTCCTTCAGTAAGTGACTTCTAGGGGCAGATTTACCCCCAGGCTAGGGACTCCTCATCCCCTCAAAGCTCAGCTTTTCGGATGTGAGAAACTGAACACACTTCTCAGGTAACTTCCAATGTTGTTTTCTGCATTTACTTGATGAAGCAGGTGCCCCAGGCATCATTATGGGATGTGACTGTTCCTTACTTGGTCTTTGTCAGTTAGCTTTAAAAATCCCCAAACACATATTGGTGTAAAAAGGCAACCTTCTGTCTTCTGTTTGGGTTATTTCTCCTTTGACTTCTGAGCATAAGAATGACTGTGATTGCGGGCGCCTGGGTGGCTCAGTTGGTTAAGCGACTGCCTTCGGCCCAGGTCATGATCCTGGAGTCCCGGGATCGAGCCCCGCATCGGGCTCCCTGCTGGGCGGGGAGTCTGCTTCTCCCTCTGACCCTCCCCCCTCTCATGCTCTCTCTCTCTCTCATTCTCTCTCTCAAATAAATAAATAAAAAAAATCTTAAAAAAAAAAAAAAGAATGACTGTGATTGCAAAAAGACAAAGATGTTGATTTTATAAGCCACAGACTTCTGAACCATTCTGCGGCCCTCCGGTTGCTGCTGATAAAGACCTCATCATTAGGAACAGCATTGAAGGAGACAGACATAGCAGACAGCTATTCAGAGCTGTGCTGTTTTGAAAGGAGGGGCTGGTTCCTTTGAAGTCACAGTGCCTGATTTTGCTTTCCGAGGTGTGCGCGCAGCTCCTCTAAATGCTGGCTGTGTGTGCACATCTGAGGGTGGATGTCTGGCTCGGAAGAAGATATGACGCCGTGATGAGGGTGTGCCTGGTGCAACCAGAGCTGAGTTATTTTCCTGTCCCCCGCCCCCACCCCGCCCTTTCCTCCTCTGCAGGATCCCTGTGCTCACCTAGAGATAAGGGAGCACAGAGGTTTCCCTGGAGGCTGGAGGCCCACCTCCTCGGCAGTCCGGGCAGCCTGCAGGCCAGGGACTGGGCCTGCTTCCCCCACAGTCTCCTATTTCAACAGAAACCCCTGCTTGAATAAAGCCAGAGAGGAAATGAGTTCAGAGGGAGGGAGGTGCCTCATTTCCAGAAAAGGCTTCAGATTCAGACTCTGACTTCACCTGTCCCTCTCCCTGTGAAGGGCCCATTGAAATCAACGCATCCTTCTCCTTGGCCCAGCCTCCAAGTCACCTAGAAGCTCCTTCCTTGTCTTGCTGCCTGGCCCCAGGTAATTTCCGTAGGGAGTGCTTTTGCTTGCTATTTCCAAGCCAAAGCATCTTTTTCTTATACTCCCTGCCTTTGTGTAGCAGAGAAGGACTCCAGATCACAATGACATAGTCTATATTGATTCCCAGTCAGTCATCAGGGACTTCTGAGTGCAGGATGGAAATCCCAAGGGAGGCTTGAGTGCCTAGCACCCACGTGTTCCTAATTAAGGACCACTGCCCCCAGAGTCATGGTCAGCCACCATCAAAGTGTCTCTTTCACAGAGTACTGGAAAATGAGACCTCAAATCTCTGATTTACTCCCCTCAGACTATAGTGGGTTGGGATTCCAGCACCCCGACATCTGCGTCTTCCAGTTGAGTTGGAAGAGCTTCTTCTAACTTAGCCTCAGTGTGAATATTTTGCTTCCCCGGGGAGAAGTCAGCGCACAGCCTGCCCAGCAGAACCTGACCAGGTGCTGACCCAGATCACAGCCCTCATGTTTAGGCTCTTAGTTTCCTTACATGCATGGGGAGTTCATAATCATAATAAGAGTAAGATGAAGACTGACAACAGTGAACATTTACTGAGTACTTGCTATGTGTCAGGCATCTGACTGTTTTACCTTCATTTTCTTCTTTAGTCTCCATGACAACCCCATGAAGCAAGCACCACTTCTAGGCCCATTTCATGGATGAAGAAGTGAGGTGTAAACATAAGTTATCTGTCAACTTCACACAACTGGGAATTTGTCAAATTAAGATCCAAAATATAATTTTTTTTGGACTCCTTGTGATAACCTCACTATATTATCCTTGGAATCAACCACAGACCTGTCTATCTATCTATCTATCTATCTATCTATCTATCTATCTATCTATCTATCTATCATCTTTCTATCATCTATCTATCTATCTATCTACCTATCTATCTATCTACCTATCATCTATCTATCTATCTATCATTTTTTGGGAGAAGAATCCACTTTTTACTTCCCTGAAGCCTTGAGATCACCTGGGACTGAGAATAGAAGGGTAACTTCCAGAGCTGGCTAAGCAGAGGGATTGTGGGCAGCCTGATCCCAGGTCCTCTCCTTGCCAGAAATCCCTGCACAACTGAATCTGGGGCAAGGTTATCCCTTTCCTGATCTACCAGTTAAGACCCTGAGATCTACCAAAACAGCACATCTGCCCAGCAGGAACTCTGACATTTTTTGCTCATGGGCCTCCTCCCAACCCCCAGTCTTTACACCAGCTCTCCCTGCACCCCTCACCCCACCTGAGTGCTCTCCCTGTCTCCAACACCTCTCTGACCTCACCTGACCTCACCTGGGGCCACATATGGATGATCTCTTCCAGTGTCTTCCATCAGCACAGTGAGATTTGAGTTCTCTGATGGTACTTCCTTGTCAACCTGTGTGTGTATGTGTGTTTGTGTCTGAGAGTGTGTCAGTGTGTGTGTGTGAAATAGCTTTACTGAGATAATTTCCATACCACAAAATTCACCTACGTAGTCTACAAATCAATGGTTTTTAGTATATTCAGAGTTGTTTGACCGTTGTTGCAATCCATTTTAGAACATTTTTATGATTTAAGAACAAAATCATTCAACTATTCCCTTTAGCTGTCCCCTTCCTGTCCCTGGGCATCGATGTGCCACTGCTAATTACTTTCTCTCTCTCTGTTTTAATTTACCAAGCAGACAGGGAGAGGAGCTAAATGAAGGCCTCTCCTCTTGCAGGATCATTTTCACGTGATCGTGAACTACCCATAGTATAAGAGTCAGAATCACCTCCAAAGATCGGGCTCGTCAGAGCTCACGTGGCCATTCGCCACCCAAGGCTAAAGCTCCTGTTCCCTCCTTTGCCCATTGTACTGGAGGATTCTAGGAGATGCCTTTTCCCCAAACAACCCACCCCCACTCCATTAATAAAGTGAAGGGCTGTTGCCAAAAAGCTGATTACAGCTCAGACAGAGGGGCCTCCAGGCAGAATTAGAACTTAAATTGTGCAATCTGAAAGCTGGAAGGAAACTTAGAACTTCTTCATGCCTGTTTAGGGCCCCGTTTCTGGATCTGGGAACTGAGGCTCAGTGAGCTTAAGACAGGATGGGCATCCAAGTACCTGGGGATCCCGGGCTTCGCGTTCTTGCAGCAGAATAGACACAACATCAGTTAAAGTGTCCAGCAGGTCAAACCAGGCTGGGAGAGGTAAAGGGAATCTGTAGGAGTGCAGACTGAGCATGGGGTAAAAATACCAATATCTTGTGATTGGAAAGCAAAGCACCATCTGGAAGGATCTCTCCTCAAAGCTCTATCAACTATAGACTGAAAGTGGGGACTGATTTTATGTGGGAGAAACCTGGTCACTCACCTGGTCAGGGGACCAAGAGTGACAATACCCCAGGTGGGTATTGTCCTAAGGTGCCCCCGAGGTGGCGCTCCAACACAGCTGGGGTCACTCCTGAGGCTGGCCATGAGGAAAGATGGGTTTGGCCCTGCTGGGGGTCCACGGCAGAATGAAAGATCTCTCTCTGAAGGTTGTCGAGGACAGGGGAGGCAAAGAAAGGCTGTGTGGCTTCCATATGGATGGCGACTCCATATAAGGCGTGATCCTGGATTGGGCTTTGAACCAGAAAAGAAAAGGTGACATGGTTGGAGCTGGTGGTGGGATTGGGATGGGGTTTCTGGTTTGGATGGGGGTGCTGTATCCAAGTCTATGTCCTGCTGTGGATGATCGTACTGTGGTTACGTAGGAGAGTGTCTTTGTTTTGGGGAAATATACACAGGAATATGTGGGAGTACGGGGCGTCGGGTTTACAGCTTGCTTCCAAATAGTTCAGAAGGGGAACTAATGGAGATGGGGGAGGAGAGAGGGAGGGAGTAAGACAGACAGACAGGGAGCAGATGGGGTAATCTGGGTGAAGGGCGTATGGCAGTTCTTTGTACTATTCTTGCAGCTTTTCTGTAAATGTGGAATTATTTCAAAATAAAAAAAAAAGGAAACCAGACACCTCCTGATACCCCAGTCCAAACCAAACCAAGAAAGCAAAAACAAAACAAAACAAAACAACCACCCAAAAAACCAACAAGAAAACACATCCTCAGGAGGTCATTTAGTGCCCTCATCCTTGTCATTAGAAAGATTTCCAGAGAGAGATAAAAAAAGTTCTTACTCTTTCTTTTTTTTTTTTTTTTAAATTTATTTATTTGAGAGAGAGAGAGGGAGCTCGGGGGGGAGGGACAGAGGGAGGGGGAGAGAGAATCTCAAGCAGACTCGGAGCTGTGTGTGGACAACAATGCGGGGCTCAATCTCATGACTCTGAGATCACAACCTGGGCTGAAACCAAGAGTCAGATGCTTAACTGACTGAGCCACCCAGGAGCCCCCAAAAGTTTTTATTATTTCTCCTTTTCATAATAATATTTCTTATTCATATTACTTAAAAGTTCTTACTGTTTAAAAATGTATCTTAAAGTCTCTGGAGGAGAAATTTCTCTTGAATATGCACAGGATCAAAAGCATTTTGGGAATTCTATTCCCTTGAATATACCATTATTCAGTTTGTTTTTAACACTGAAAATTCTCTGGGAACTGGGAGTGACGAGTTGCGTATTCACTCCATGTGAGCGTAGGGAACCCTCATGCTTGCTCCGCCGTGAGCTGTTGGGAGGCCTGGAAAGGACCAGCCTGCCCGTGGGAGCTGTGTTAATGAGTAGTGATCACTAGACTGAGGCAACACATCTCCCTGGGTGGTTAGGATGCTATTATTTAGCCCAACGACATAACTGTAGCAGTTGTTTTGAGACATGTCTAGACTGAACCAGGAGCATGTTAATTTAATAATAATCCCTTGCCTTTCAGACACAGGGGTGTGTGTGTGTGTGTGTGTGTGTGTGTATGTGCGCGTGTGCGTCTGTGCACTCACCTTTACCTCTACCTGCGTACACATGTGCGTAAACACATTCACATCGGTTACATAGGACCTGCACATCCCCACACTATGGGTGTGCCCAGGATCTGTCCCACCTCTCTCTGTTCCCACCCTTTCGTGCTCTCTTCTGTAGTGCAAGGGGCTGGAGGTGTGCAAACTACATTGTCCAGATTCTCTTGTCATGTCGGTTCCTGCTAGTGTCTTCCAATGGTGGGTGCTGTCTCATGATTGGAGGGAGACAAGACTTTCTGTCTGTCTTGTTTCCTCTGGAGGTGGCAGTGACCGCAAAGTTGGGGTTCTTTGGTCCCCAGGCAGGGAGTGTGGTTTCGACAACTGTGGGCAGCCCCCGGAGGAGAGCGTGGGGTCCCGGTTCCCCCTGCATCAGCAGAGGGTGGGGTCTTGGTCTACTGCAGGGGTAAGAACAGCGGCTCCTGGTGCAGCAGTGAGGGGCAGGTACCCCAGCAGCCTCGGAGGCCACCCTTGTGGGCTCTAGGTGGGTCTGTTTTTGCTCTTCGACTTCAGCCTTAGACTTGGTAGCAGATTCCTCATGTTATTTATCTCTAGATAACCTTACCTTTTCCCTTCCTGGTCCCAGCCCTTCCAATATTTTGTAATCCATTCCCTATACTAAATTCCTTCTGTTTAGAAACATCTGGAGTCATTTCTGACCCTGCAGGTTTTGATGGAACATTCTTGTCTTGACACCAAACGGTTTGCAGCTATGGAGTGAGATAGTTTGGATTAGGACTGTCCTGTTTTTATGCTTATTTCTGATAGTAAGCAGGGATAGAGAGAAAGTCTGCAGCATTTATCTCTGATTTTCTCTAGTCCTTGTGACAATTGATGCAATTAAACACTTTTTATTTCCACTGTCACCCAAGGACTTCTTTCCAGCTAGTCTCACAGCAGCATTTCCTACCTTCCACAATGTGGGCAGGGCCTCCATCACACTTTGGGGGCGACTGGGTGGCTCAGTCCTTTAAGCATCTGCCTTAGGCTCAGGTCATGATCCCAGGGTCCTGGGATGGAGTCCTTTGTCAGGCTCCTTGTTCAGTGGGGAGTCTGCTTCTCTCTCTGCCGCTCCCCCTGCTTGTGCTCTCTCTCTCTCTTTCTCTGACAAATAAATAAAATCTTAAAAAAAAAAAAAAGAGTCTCCCTCTTCCTCTGCCCCTCCCCCCCCCACTGGTGCGTAGGAGCTCACGCGCACGCTCTCTCTCTCAAAAAAAAGGCCTCCTTTTGGTTTGTAATTTGGGTTTCTGTCTTTTATCTCTCCTTAACTTTGTTCTTCCATTGATTTACTCATCCTTGCATATTTAACCATCTCATTCAACCAAAAAAAAAAAAAAGTTACTACTATAAATAGATGCTACTAGGAGCATCTCCTATACCCAGTATGAATCTGGAAACATAGGGAGCTCTATGGACACACTTGCTGTCCTCATGAGCCCACAGTTTAGTGCAGCTGATGGGCCAGTAGACAGACAGTTTCTGGGTGGTGTGAGGGGTCCTTCAGTAGGGGGCATGCTAAGCGCTCATCTACCTTTTCCTTGAAAGGCATATCCTTGATATTCCCCCACTAAATGCACACAGACCCCCATGATCCACTGTACCTCACACACAAAGAAGCACTGATCTGGCCTGACATAGAATATAAGTCAACAAATGATGAGTATAGTTAAAATAAAACTAAATAAAATCTGAACAGTCTGAGAGAGAGTCTGAGACTAACAGGCAACCCAAGAATGGAAGAGCTCTTAGCAGCCTTCCAGCAACCATGATGCCCGTAGACCAGGACTGCTCACCCTACCTGCCCCAAACTCAGGGGACAGCAGTTCTCTTGGCCCGTTTTCCTCTACTGCCCAGAATTCCTGGCACTATTTACATCACGGCGGTCTCTTTTTCTGGCCAAGCCCAGTTGGAGAACTCAACTGTGAATTGACCTAAGTCCACTGAGTATATTTGGTGATATTGTTTTCCCTTTCTTCCTGTTTCTTGTATTGTGGGGTCTCATGACAGGTGTTTTTAACTTACTGAAAATTAACTCTACTTGTGAGCCCTCTGCTCTTCTTCCCCTGAGTATTCCTTTTCCCCAAAGAAGGAGACAAGGATGAACGTGGGGCAGGGCGCAGGTGACAGGATGTGTATGCCCCGTGGATGTGGGCTAGGTGCTGTCTAAGGAGGAGTGTTGGCGAGGAAGCAGGCTGCCCTGGTCCCGTGTGCTAACCCATGAGGAGGTGTCTATCTTG